AAAGTGTAAACCTATCAATAGTAAACAATACAATATTAATATCTCTTACTAACCCAGGAAAGTGTAAACCTATCAATAGTAAACAATGCAATATTAATATCTCTTACTAACCCAGCAAAGTGTAAACCTATCAATAGTAAACAATGCAATATTAATATTAACATTTTCTGCCTATGACTTTTCATTTCTTTAATTATTGTATACATATATATTAATTTTTATTATACAATACAATATTGATACTAAAATTTTCTGCCTGTGATTTTTCACCTTATCATAATTATTTTGTTGTTGTTGCCGTTTTGGTTGTTTAACATAGCATCCCACAACCTATCTGTTGTATACAGGTGTTGCCAAATTGTATGTTCCAGAGTATGTTATCTTGTTTCCTCTGTGTACATTTAAGGAAACAACTATGGCAGACTGATATTGTGAGTTCTTTTTAGAAAGTTTTAAAACTTTGAAATGTCTCCCTGTTATGTTGCAAAAAAATATTAAAATAACTGATAGCTACCAAAAAAATAAAAAAATATTTGATGATTAAATTTCCTTTGTTTTTTTTTGTGATCCTTTCTTTAAAAAAAATTACAAATGAAAATTCAGAAAATAAAGAACAACTTTGAACTCTTCTTTGTTGAGACAGCAAATGCTGTTGGTACTACCTACCTGAACAAAATTTCTGATTCAGCAAAGGATTTAAGGAAACTACCACTTATTTAACATGCTGATGTAGGCCTTACAAGATGGTGAATTCAAAAATTGGGATCTCCTTTTAAAACATTTAAAGCTGAAAACTTTAATGCTGACAGTAGTCAGAGCCTTTTTATCTCAAAGTTGTCGGGATGATAAAATTATGTTTTGATATAACTGGAAAAAACGTCCGTTTATATTTATACATTGTAGTAACAAGATTTTTGAAAGAATTTCAGTGAAGTTTCGAATGCCCTAATTAGAAATATATTTGTTCATATAACAAGATCGATGTCAGTTTAATGTGATTCTGCTTCCTACTTCATCTGATTATGTGGATATTTCTTTATGTTGTACAGTTTAAACGGAATAATTTATATTATTTCATAACTATATTTCTTCTATTTCAGTGCATTCTATTTTTATATGGCTGAAACTTACACAACTCCAATAAATACTAAATACAAATATTTGGGCCCATGGTCTCTATACTTTAGAATTTTCTAGACTAAAAGTTTGTACTTTTACTAGATGAAGGATGATGGTGACTTCATTGCATACTTTTGAAAACGAAGGGAGATAACTCAACCTTTTTATTGTCAGATAATTTTTTCTTTAAAGCTATATGTGCTAGTCAAAGGTAAGAAACTCTGATTTTAAACTGAAAGTGTAATTTATTTACTTTTGATGAAGAAATTTAACTTCAGCCCTTATTGATAATTGCAGCAGTCTCCGTCCAGCAGTCGGAGAAGTTCTATGGTGGAAGGTAAATCACCATCAAAGTCGGCCGACTCTAAGAGCAACATGACCCAGAGGTCAACCTCGCAGGGTAATACAGGGCCCTTGTTTACTAACAAGACAAAGGCCATTGTGTGGGGCATGCAGCAGCGTGCTGTTCAAGGCATGCTGGACTTCGACTATGTCTGCTCGCGCAAGGAGCCGTCCGTGGTTGCCATGATATACCCCTTCACGTAAGTTTTTAGGTCACCTGAGCTTTGCTCAAGTGACCTATTCTAATCGCTTTCCGTCCGTCGTGCGTAAACTATTTTACATTTTCGACTTCTTCTCAAGACCCAGTGCATTAAAAAAATTAAACTTGATCTGAATCATTCTTGGTAGATGAGGCTACTAAATTGTTAAATTGGATTCCTACCCCAACCTCAGGGGCCAGGGCAGGGCCCCAAAGGGAAAATTAACCAATATTTCAAAAATCTTCTTCTCCAGGCTTAGAGGTACTACAGTCAATTTTTTGCATGGATGGAAAGATCATCAGGGGTTTTATTAAAATTGTAAATTAATTTGACTTTACAGTCGAACCTCATTATCTCGAACTCTTATAACTCGAAGACCCTGTTTATCTCCGGTCCCGGCCAAATCTCTTCTTTATCTTAGTAAATAAAACTTGGATATCTCGAAGTAAGATATTGGTTTCAATAGCGTAAATCCAACATCAAAACATCGTCTACTGAATTTCATTTCGTCAATTATTTATTCTTTGATACAAATAAAATGCAAAAGCTACGGCATTTCGCCATTCCATGTTTATGAACATCTTTCGTGAGTAGACTATCATGAAATCGGTGAAAATGATTTAAGATAAAGCTTAAGACTGTAAAGTGTGCGAACTGTCAAAACCACGTTGTTCATAAGAAAAAAGTACGAGGTCGGAGACAGCGGGATAGTTCTATTTCAAATGTAACACTTCAGAGGTCTAACTTGACGGACTCGCAAATACAAATGAAGACCTAGAAAGACTTTACCAAGACTAGCCAAATCAACATTTAATCACTAGGCTCATCCATATTTCATAACAAATTCGCAATATGGTCCAACCGTTTTCATCGCGTTAAACGAAAGTACGTTTTTGTTAGCGTGTTTATTATAAAATACCATACATGTATGTGTCCTATTGATTACGTATATCATCCATCAATTGATTATAAGCATTCGCTATTAGTACAAATCAACGACTGCTAGTGCTATGTCCAAACAGTATATTTCATACCAAATATATGGGCGGGGTCCCAAAGGGAAAATATACCAATATTTCAAACATCTTCTTATTCAGACTCAGAAGTACTACAATCAAATTCTGTGCATGGATGAAAATTCCATCAGGGGCTTTATCTATTTTTCAATTTCATTACCCCCGGGCCATCCATTCTCAGTTGGGGAGGGGGTAAAGTTGACTTTAGTTTATATAGAAAACTGACACTTTTGGGTATATTTTGTCCATTTTTGGCAGGAAATTATTCAATCTGTGTTGGAATGATTATGATGCCAGATGGCAATTAGATGATATGAGAAAATAAGATCCTGCCCCATCCCCAGGGGCTGTAGCAAAGGAAAATGGTTAATGGGGAAAATGGTTAAAAGTTTAAAAAATATTCATGATACTCAGATTTTTACAAACAAATACTCTTCATGGATAGAAAAGTCCTTAGGTGCATAATCTAAATTGTAAATTTCACGATCTCCCACATCATCTGATCTCCCCTGGGGAGGGGGTAAAGTATACTATATTTTATATAGGGAAATAAAACTTCTGACTATATCTTGTCCATTTTCAGCAAGAAATAATTCAAACTCAGTTGGAATAGTTATAAGGAAATTGAAATTAAATACTTAATAGTATCATAAAGTAAGATCCTGTCCTATCCCAGGGGTTGGCCAAAGAGGAAAATTGGCAAAATAACAATAGATATTATATTTCTCAATAGCAAAATAATATATTTGAATATTTTTTTTCAAGTTCTGATCCTTTGGTGACATGACAAGTATTGTATTTCATTTAATTTACATGTTGATTTCCACATCACATCTCAGCAATGAAATTGAGCTACCAGTACCTATTACATAACTCAGGTGACCGCTAATGCTCTTGGGCATCTTGTTACTAAGACTAACAGCATCACAAGCATCCTGGAAAAGACAAGGGAATGAACATTGTTAAAGGTCCAAACAAAGCAAAAAAAATAGTGAAATAATAATTGAAGTTCAGATTTTTGCAAATTGCCAACAGGAAAAAATCATAAAATTTATAAATCCAGACCCCGGAATCATGATATAATCTTAGACTTGACCCTAGCCAATCATGTATGACGTCAATTTTCATGACATCTGTAACTGGTTAAGTCAAAACTTGACAATTTTAGACTTTGAACGTTTCATGATCTCAGGACAAGGACAATATTATGTAGCTTCTGATTTGGCGTATCTGTAATTGAAATCCTACATTTGGAGTTGATATGGCCCACGACACAGGAGAAAATTTATCATAGATTTGTTGGAACTTTGAAATGGTTGAAAGACACAAAACATTAGTACAGTGAAGGTTTTTGAATAATGTGTCGTTAATATCAAGAGATTTATTTATATCGAAAGATCAAAGGATACTCCGCCCCATAAGAACAGTCAGGCAATCTGTACTTGTGTGTTCATGTTTAGGCCTGCTTGGCTGGCCATCTTCAGGACAAAATAACAATTTGGCTAATTGAGACCTAATTTAATAAAAATGCGATACAATTGTATTGTAGAGGGTTGACGTCTCGGTAAGGTTATATTGTGACGTGATGCAAATGCTATGTATAGTAAATAAACTTTTATTTATTTTACAACAATTATGAAACAAGTTATATCAAATTGTACCAATCACTCTTGTTGGCTCGGATGGTAGCGTGCAAGAGGTTCTTTATTTGGGATTAAACCAGGGTACCAGGTGACCCATACCTTTTCACGTCTGATCGGGAAATCAGGGTGGGGCTCAAAGGAGTCAGTGTGCTAAAATTTCTTCATTTCCCTTGTTTAGAATCAGAGGTGTTAGTTTCAAATACTTTTTAGTCTGAAATCTGTATGCTAGATATTGAATAAGGTGGTTTTATTGTTTTTTGTCACTTTGAATAATTCTGTTCATGTTAAAAACAAAATCAACTCTCTGTATAAATATATCAGGTGACCGTTAAGGCCCATGGGCCTCTTGTTGATAAAAAGTTTGTCTGGATATGGGGGTGGGGGGCTATGGATCGCTCTCTTTACTTTGCTTTGTTGAAGAATATCTCTATTATATTGTATTGATATCTTTTTGAACACTTTGATTGTGCGTTGTGTCATCATTCATAATACACTGAGAATTATCAATATATTTATCTTTCAAATGTACATATGTTACCTAATGTACTTAATCCTCTTCACCAATGGGTGACATATAGGGCCTTAACTACTGTCCTCCATCTTGCTCTTGGGCTGCCAACTTCTCTTCCCATTCTCCATGCAATAACCATATATACTGCACTTGGCTATCTTAGTTTCTGATGACTTTTGAGTCATCAAGGGTGATTGTGTGTTCAGGTAATTGCTTCGCAGATTTATGCAAAGTGCACACAGTTTTTTCGGTATAAACTGTATAGCCCCAAAAATAATCATGGTTATTCCTTAGCTTAACACAGTAAGGTAGCATACACCCTAAACTTGATTAGTTATATGTGTTATAGTAAGGTAGCATACACCCTTAACTTGATTAGTTATATGTATTACAGTAAGGTAGCATACACCCTTAACGTGATTAGTTACATGTGTTACAGTAAGGTAACATACACCCTAAACTTGCTTAGTTATATGTGTTACATTAAGGTAGCATACACACTTAACTTGATTAGTGATATGTGTTACAGTAAGGTAACATACACCCTTAACTCGATTAATTATAAGTGTTATACGGTAAGGTAGCATACACCCTTACCTTGATTAGTTATATGTGTTCTACAGTAAAGTAGCATGCACCCTTAACTTGATTATTTATATGTTATACAGTAAGGTAGCTTACACCCTTAACTTGGTTAGTTATATGTTATACAGTAAGGTAGCATACACCCTTAACTTGATTAGTTATATGTGTTATACAGTAAAGTAGCATACACCCTTAACTTGATTAGTTATAAGTGTTACAGTAAGGTAGCATACACCCTTAACTTGATTAGTTATATGTGTTACAGTAAGGTAGCATACACCCTTAACTTGATTAGTTATAAGTGTTATACAGTAAGGTAGCATACACCCTTAACTTGATTAGTTATATGTGTTACAGTAAGGTAGCATACACCCTTAACTCGATTAATTATAAGTGTTATACAGTAAGGTAGCATACACCCTTAACTTGATTAGTTATATGTTATACAGTAAGGTAGCATACACCCTTAACTTGATTAGTTATATGTGTTACAGTAAGGTAGCATACACCCTTAACTTGATTAGTTATATGTGTTACAGTAAGGTAGCATACACCATTAACTGAATTAAGCATACCGTAATTTCCTGCGGATAGCCGGCGGGCTTTCAGACACCCAGTGGGCTATCTACAGGTGTGGGTTATCTGTTAATGTTTTTTTACATTATATCCTTCAGGCTTTCTTTTTACATTATATCCTGCAGGCTTTCTGTGGTGTAAAAATAAAAAAAAATCAAATTGCAAAATATTGTACGCCATAATTTATTGATTACACATCAACATTAAATATTTGTACAATCAATTTGCTGCCAATGTTCATTCATGTATCATCAATCCCAAAGTTTGAGGCCTTAGACATGCTCTGGAATATTTCCATTTCCTCCAAGTCAAGTCGCACTACTTCCGCTAGTGGAAGATCATCATCACTGTCCTAATCATGTGTATCGGCGAAGGCGATCTGAATAATTTTCTGTAACAGAAGTTAGCATACACCCTTAACTAATTTAATTATGCATGCTATATGAATATTTCAGTGGGGACCACAAACAGAAGTTTTACTGGGGACACAAGGAGATCCTTGTACCAGGTATGTGTCATTCCTCCAGTGGTTAGTGGGTCACAATCCAGTACATAATACATAGTACAGGTTGTTTTTCTTTGGGAGATTCTGATTTTCACAATTTTTCCCTGGAAACTATTTGCCACAACAAATTAATGTGCAAATATAAAACCATATCAAAACATACTTATTGTAGCACTGTGCGTTGACTACAAGACCTGAAATCTGCTAAAATTGATTCTGTGAAATTGATTCTAAAAAAATATAAAACACAGTGTTGAATTATCTTGACCCTTGTATGATTTCAGTGTACAAGAGTATGGCTGATGCCATGGCAAAGCACCCAGAGGCTGATGTAATGGTCAGCTTCGCATCTCTTAGATCTGCCTATGAGAGCAACATGGAAACTCTCAACTTCCCTCAGGTAAGTTTTGCATACTAGAGCACCAGCACCATAGAAACTAATCTCAGGTAACATGGAAACTCTCAACTTCCCTCAGGTAAGATTTGCCGACAAGAGCACCATATAAACTAATCTCAGGTAACATGGAGACTCTCAACTTCCCTTAGGTAAGACTTTCCAACAAGAGCACCATAGAAACTAACCTCAGGTAACATGGAAACTCTCAACTTCCCAAAGGTAAGACTTTCCAACAAGAGCACCATAGAAACTAATCTCAGGTAACATGGAAACTATCAACTTTCCAAAGGTAAGACTTTCCAACAAGAGCACCATAGAAATTAACCTCAGGTAACATGGAAACTCTCAACTTCCCTCAGATAAGATTTGCCGACAAGAGCACCATATAAACTAATCTCAGGTAACATGGAAACTCTCAACTTCCCACAGATAAGATTTGCAAACAAGAGCACCATATAAACTAACCTCAGGTAACATGGAAACTCACAACTTCCCTCAGGTAAGATTTGCCAACAAGAGCACCATATAAACTAACCTCAGGTAACATGGAAACTATCAACTTCCCTCAGGTAAGATTTGCATACTAGAGCACCAGCACCATAGAAACTAATCTCAGGTAACATGGAAACTCTCAACTTCCCTCAGGTAAGATTTGCCGACAAGAGCACCATATAAACTAATCTCCGGTAACATGGAAACTCTCAACTTCCCTCAGATGAGATTTGCCGACAAGAGCACCATATAAACTAACCTCAGGTAACATGGAAACTCTCAACTTCCCTCAGATAAGATTTGCCGACAAGAGCACCATATAAACTAACCTCAGGTAACATGGAAACTCACAACTTCCCTCAGGTAAGATTTGCCAACAAGAGCACCATATAAACTAACCTCAGGTAACATGGAAACTCTCAACTTCTAAGATAAGATTTGCCGACAAGAGCACCATATAAACTAATCTCCGGTAACATGGAAACTCACAACTTCCCTCAGGTAAGATTTGCCTACATGAGCACCATATAAACTAATCTCCGGTAACATGGAAACTCTCAACTTCCCTCATATAAGATTTACCGACAAGAGCACCATAGAAACTAACCTCAGGTAACATGGAAACTCACAACTTCCCTCAGATAAGATTTGCCGACAAGAGCACCATATAAAATAATCTCAGGTAACATGGAAACTCACAACTTCCCTCAGGTAAGATTTGCCGACAAGAGCACCATATAAACTAACCTCAGGTAACATGGAAACTCACAACTTCCCTCAGATAAGATTTGCCGACAAGAGCACCATATAAACTAACCTCAGGTAACATGGAAACTCACAACTTCCCTCAGGTAAGATTTGCCGACAAGAGCACCATATAAACTAACCTCAGGTAACATGGAAACTCTCAACTTCCCTCAGATAAGATTTGCCGACAAGAGCACCATATAAACTAATCTCCGGTAACATGGAAACTCTCAACTTCCCACAGGTAAGATCACCTTCATTTGATAATTATCAATATTCTAATTATTATTTTTTAAATTAAGAGAATGAAATGTTGATAGATTAGTCATATAATGATGTTAGGGATTCATTCTATTCTCCAAAAAAACAATTTTCTGATCTCCCTTTGACCTTTAGATTCGAACCATTGCCATCATAGCGGAGGGAATTCCAGAAAATCTGACAAGGAACCTGGCGAAAAAAGCCACCGAGAAAGGCGTGTCCATCATTGGTCCAGCTACAGTGAGTTGATGGTTTACTTTTTGTGTTCTATGCATGGAGGTGACTATTTCCGCCAATTTTGATCTGTGTAATATTACTGTCATTGGTTAAATCACTTTTCACAGTAGTTGCATTATTAAGGTATACTATTGCAATACTGATACAATATTATTAGGTACTCAACAAAATCATCTAGTTTGTCAATATGTATTATAGAGTGTCAATATGGTAGGTAATGTAACAGTATATTGCACAGTATTTCAATACATTACCTATCATGTTAATATGTAAAGCATGTGAATGTTCTCATGCTAATTTAGTAAACAACAAACAAAGAACTGGAAGTTGTTTGTTTCTGTTTCTACATGCAAAACTTTGGAAAGTGAGCTTTCCTGTTTATGAAGTTCCAAAGACCGTTTCAAATCTTTCAAAAATATAAGACAGATAGCTCAACTTATTATCTCCTTTGCGTTTGGTGTCTATTTATTATGTAATTATCTCCCCTGCATTTGGTGTCTATTTATTATGTTATTATCTCCCCTGAATTTGGTGTCTATTTATGATGTAATTAGCTCCCCTGCGTTCGGTGTCTATTTATGATGTAAGTATCTCCTCTGCGTTTGGTGTCTATTTATGATGTAATTATCTCCCTTGCGTTCGGTGTCTATTTATGATGTAAGTATCTCCTCTGCGTTTGGTGTCTATTTATGATGTAATTATCTCCCCTGCATTTGGTGTCTATTTATGATGTAATTATCTCTCCTGCGTTCGGTGTCTATTTATGATGTAATTATCTCCCCTGCATTTGGTGTCTATTTATTATGTTATTATCTCCCCTGCATTTGGTGTCTATTTATGATGTAATTATCTCCCCCAAGGTTGGTGGCGTTAAGCCCGGATGTTTTAAGATTGGTAACACAGGAGGTATGCTGGACAACATTCTGGCCTCAAAACTTTACAGGCCAGGCAGGTACGTGATGTTAGCAACAATTAAATTCTTCATCAATTAAACTTAATGTCAGTAACTTAATAGAGCAAGTTTATAAGAGAGTTTGATACTGTTTTTTAAGTAATTCAAAAGAAAAAATGTATAAAAATACTAAACAGTTTTAAATATTTGTAAAATAAAGAAATATGAGTCATGTACCCTTTCTGACTCAAACTCAGGTCTGAGATGAGTAAAATGCCTCTTTTGACCCCGAAGAATAAAATTTTCCTCTGAATCCAAACTCAGATGAGGCAATAACCCCTCCAAACTCGAACTGTGATGACTCAAATATCCCTTCAGACTCCAACTCCTGTTAGTCAAATATGCCTCCTAGCTAAAATCCACATGGCTCAAATATCCCCCTCCATACTGGGACAAGGCAAATATTCCCATGAATTTGGAATAGCATGTTCCTTACTCCAACTCCGATAAATCAAATATCCCTCTTAAATTGGACGTCCCACTTGAGTCACTTATCCCTCCTAACATACTATTGCTACTCAGTGCCTACGTTTACAGACAAAACATTTTACTTGGACACAAGTTAAACATGTAAAACTGTGTAAGGAACATGAATTACTTGTGTGATGTAGTAACTGTTTCAATGTCTTTCTGTTTGATTTACAGCGTGGCATACGTCTCCAGATCTGGTGGAATGTCCAACGAACTCAACAATATCATGGCACTCAACACAAACGGCGTGTATGAGGGGGTAGCTATAGGGGGAGACAGGTCAGTTATCTGGTCAAAAGTTTGAGTTAGAACATTTTGGTGTATTTGTTCCCTTGACATTTAGTCAGTTTTTGTTAAGTTTTTACTTGGTTGCATTTGTGACCTTGACCTTAATATCCTTATGTTTTATGCTAGAACAAATGATCTTGGTAGTTGATAAGAAAAATTACTGATTGCGTATTATATTCATATACATGATTATTATTATATCTTGTCAATAAAACCCTCCATAGCAAATGTATCACACAGCTGGTCATTTTTTGTTATTCCATGATTTCCACCAAAGACTTGTGAAGGACGACTGTATACTACATTGTTTATTACTGCACTCATAGCTCTCTTAAGGAAGTGCCAACAGTCTTACAGACCCTAACCACACATGTGGTCAGTTCTACTGACTGGACAACAATTTAGTCTAGGGCTCTGTTGGCTAAGATTGTAGACCTATCAATATAACCTGGAAAGAATACCGTTTGTTACAGAAAGAAAAGTAAATATTTATCAGAAGGGATACATTACAATATACAGAATCTCTTTTGGGACTACTTCCTGAGACTGATGTATGCAAAAATTCATATTTTGATTGAAATATACAATGTAATCTGATATCCTATATGTTTATTGATTGTACAGATATCCGGGAACAACATTCATGGACCATATCTTACGATATCAGGACGACCCTGAAGTTAAAATGATTGTCCTTCTGGGAGAGGTAGGGAATCTGTCGTTGTATCCTATTTGAAATCTCATTGAGAGATGAGACGGGGGTTGCTTTAACTATGAACATCATACATGAAAAAAACCCAAAAAACTCTTAATAAAGTCTCTGTAACTAGCATTCTCAGTAATAGGCAATTTCAGTATTAAGTATTCTGTATAATAAGAAATCTCAGTTATAACAATCTTGTTAATTAACCATCTCAGCAAAAGCAATGATATCCTGACCAAAAAATCAGATATATTTACAAAATAATTGAACATCATATGAATAATCTTCTATCAATGCTGTTAGTAAGTGAATTGTATTATTTCCTGTATTGTAGGTCGGTGGAACAGAGGAGTATCACATGATTAACGCTATGAAGGATGGCCGCGTCAACAAGCCTGTGGTTGCCTGGTGTATTGGTACCTGTGCTAAGATGTTTACATCAGAAGTGAGTGTCACTGTAGTTAATGTGGTTTAAATGGAACTTTTATTGTTCTTGCTGGAGTTTTATGTCTTCACAACAACAACAACAACAAAAGTCATATGATGATGGTGTCCAGAAACAAGAGGCCCAGAGGGCCTGTATCGCTCACCTGTTTCTTTGGTTACATGAAACTGACATATAGGTAACTTCTGACCAAATTTGGTAACTAGAACACATGACATTTTAACATCTCTTAAACGCTTCACAAGATATTGTTGTTTGAAATTTCAAAATTTGAATTTTTAAGCTTTTAACCCATGTTGACCATTGATATCGGCTAGCACTTAAAGTTGACATTTAACCTCATTACTGAAATACAGCAAACGATTTACAGCTGGTCTACATAACATACACAAGTATCATGACTCTAGACCAAATGCTTCTTAGGATATCGTTGTTTGTGTTTGAAGTTTTAACATATTTGACCCCTGTGACCTTGAAACTAGGTCAAGGTCGTTTTAATGAAAGAGCTTTTTAGCACTCCATCCCAGGTACCTATGGGCCAAATATTATGACCCTGGGCCTTATGAAACTTGAGAAAAAGATTGTTAAAGCTTTTAACCCATGTTGACATTTGACCCCTGACTAGCACTTAAAGTTGACCTTTGACCTCATTTCTGTAATAAAGAAAAAGATTTGCACTGCTAGTCTACATAACATACCCAAGTATCATGACTCTAGTCCAAATGGTTCTTAAGATATTGTTGTTTGAAGTTTTTAACATATTTGACCCCTGTGACCTTGAAAGTAGGTCAAGTTAATTTTAATGAGGAAACTTTATAGCACTCCATCCCAAATATCATGACCCTAGATCCTAAAGTTCTTCAGGAGAAGTTGTTCAAAAGAAAAAGTTGATGGACGGACGAGGGGCGACGGACGCCGCAGTACAGCATAATCTCACATGGCCCATATGATGTAGTATGCACAAATGATAGGGCCACACAATTCCTTAGGTCATATGACATATCCATAAAACAGTTTAAGTCACAAGATGGATTTTTCCACTGATGATGTTTTTAGCAACAGTTAATGTCATGTGACATTGATATCCACTCAACAGGTTATGTCACATGACAACATATTTACAGATGAGGGGGTGACACAACATGTACAGCTTAAGTCATATTCTCAAAGTTGAATTAGTATAGATTTTTCTGAAAAGTGTCTCCTTCGTTTTGGCACAGGAACAATAACCCAGATAAGATGAGATAACTGTATACCGGGAAATATTTCCAATCCAACTTTCGCCCTTCACCGGTAAATTCCATTTGCACCCAAGTAAATTTCACCCAACACATTTAGATACTCTCTTGATTATGTTGTTTTCTAATGTTCACTGTAATGAACAATTTGTCTTCATTATGGGGGCGAAAAAAAGCAAAAATTTAAACAGCAGCAAAAATTTCCAAGTAGACAGTCATACATGGATGTCATTCCTAGAGAGGTCAGTGACAATACTGTTTGAGAATGAAACACATTGCTTTTAGTTATGAATCTTTTTGTACTTTTAATTCTATGCTATCATGTCAATCAATGAAAATTTTGTTGGACTGTGATATATTCCTGAAGTTTTTTTGGTTTGAATAAATTCATTAAAATATGAAAATAAAGGAAACCATTTCAAACATTAGTGATTCCTCCCATAGGTCCAGTTTGGCCATGCTGGAGCATGCGCTAATGCCGAGGCCGAGACAGCCGACGCTAAGAACAAAGCCCTGAAGGATGTGGGAGCATTCGTACCTCGCAGTTTTGACGAGCTTGGAACTGTCATCCAGTGAGTAAACAGGGACTGATCTTTCAGTGAAAACCTGTCTACAATGACACCACAGGAACATTCAGAATACACAGGTTTTCAGTTTACATTTCAATTTCAAAATTAATTTATATGCAGAGTATGCGATGATCTGTAAATGTTTGCTCGCTACCACTGATACTCACCAATGCTCACTGGCAATGCTCAGTGAGGTCACCAATGCTCACTGAGGTCACCAATGCTCACTGAGGTCACCAATGCTCACTGAGGTCACCAATGCTCATGTCAAAACGTAGCAGTACTGACACATCAGGGTTCTCACTCTATGAGGTATACAGTAGAGTTAGCTAATTCTCATAGTTGTAACCTAAGACTACCTGATGTGAAACTCAGTACAGCTCTTCACCCTATTTTACTGGCAAGGTTTGCTAAAGCATATATTATTTTCCACTTACAGGGAAGTGTATGACAGTCTTGTTGAGGATGGAATCATCACACCACAGCCCGAACAGGCTCCTCCCACTGTCCCTATGGACTTTACATGGGCCAGGGTAGGTATTACTGGTAACAGGCCTCTCCCACTGTCCCTATGGACTTTACATTGGCCAGGGTAGGTATTACTGGTAACAGGCATCTCCCACTGTCCCTATGGACTTTACATGGGCCAGGGTAGGTATTACTGGTAACAGGCTCTCCTGCTGTCCCTATGGACTTTACATGGGCCAGGGTAGGTATTACTGGTAACAGGCTCTCCTACTGTCCCTATGGACTTTACATGGGCCAGGGTAGGTATTAGCCCATAGGCGACAGTTCTAGTTGTCACTGATAACAGAATTTTGTGAATTTGCACAAACTTACACAACTTAAAAGATTTTTTTGCTTCAAATCACAATGCAGATATTATGAAATGTTTTTCAAGAAAAACATCCCAAAGATTTAGTTATTCAATCATAACTTATGAGTTGTTCAATTTCATTTTCAAAATGATTTTTTTTCCATATTTCCAAAAATAAAGTATATATACAGTAAACCTACCTACCTTATCCAATCTGAGTATTCCAACAGTTAAAGTTTGAAAACTATTTCTTGTAAAAACTACCAAATAAAACTGCTGTAACTGACATCCTGTACAATCCAACCAATTTGTTAGAAATCACAAAGTGTCAGATTAGACAGATTTCACTGTGGTTGACTTCATTTGGTTTCAGATCATCTTTTTGATTTAAAAAAATGCTGTTGGAGAATTGAATCAAAAATAAAATTGTTATGCCTTGTTTATGAGAATTTTCATTGTCATTACACTAATCAGACTTCAAATAACCTGACGTAGCTGACTGAAGTCTGTATATTTATTGTGTAGGAGCTTGGTCTGATCAGGAAACCAGCTTCCTTCATGACGAGTATCTGTGACGAACGAGGCCAGGAGCTGTTGTATGCTGGGATACCTATCACCGACATCTTTAAGGAGGACATGGGTATAGGAGGGGTCCTCAGTCTTCTCTGGTTCCAGCGAAGGTAAAATAGCTCCTGAAAAAAATGTTATATAGGGCTATTGTGACAGGAATTATTTCCATAATCAATTTGATAATTCAATGCTAAAGTTGGTTTGGTGTGTAGAGACAATTACCTTAGGTAGTCTTCTTGATGACGTGGATCTCCAGGAAGGTCTGGAGTAACAGCAGACCGCCGACTCTGAGGAAACGTCTGCTCAGGTCGAAGGCTTGCTGTGTAACTTACTTATGCGGAGGCTACTCACACTTGACTAAGGACAAACCTGAAAGCCGGTCCATCAATTACGGAACATGCTGATCCTCTATTAAAATACAACTGAATGAACTTGATCATCTTAAAGCTACAACTTAAGCAATGAACAAATTAATTAGGTTTTCAGATAAAAAGAAAATTATTTCTCGTTTTAAAATCTGACCAAAAAACAAATATACTTTTTATGCCCCACAACAAAGTGGTGTGAGGTATTACCCTGGTCCCAGTACACCCAGTTAAATGTTAACTGTAGGTCAGTTTAGGACTAAGTATTGCATCTAGGGTCATATAGATTGTTTTTTTGTGACCTTCACTTTTGACCTTGACCTCTGTGAGCTTGGTTAAGTTTTTGTGTTTAGGTCTGTTATGGATTAAGTTCTGTGACTGGGGTCACGTAACATCACCTACTAATGCACCTGTATATGTACAGCATGTTGAATGACTTTTTGTAACCTTTTCATTTACCTTGTTCTCTTTGACCTTTCTTTAGTTCTTAAGTTTTAGAGCAGGGCATCTGATTCTCATAGATATATATATTTAGATTGATAAGTTCTAAATTCCTTTTTTCTACTTAATCATTTGAGAATGCATTATATGTCTGGTCAAAATTTACTTGTCCATTGCCAGACTGCCCAAGTATGCGACAAAGTTTATTGAGATGTGCCTGATGGTGACTGCTGACCACGGTCCAGCTGTGTCCGGAGCCCACAACACCATTGTGTGTGCCAGGGCAGGCAAAGATCTTGTGTCCTGTCTAGCCTCTGGACTGCTGACCATTGTAAGTCTACAACACTGTAACATGTTCATAGAGGCTGTTGTTAAAAAAGTCCCTGGTAATTGGAATTGAGGTCAGTGCTAAAAAAGTATCGAAAAATAAATGTACTCGATATTCCTGGAAAAGTTTTTGAGACAATAAAGGATCCTTGTCCCACTAGAGGTGAAACACCAAAGACTCCGTTAAGTTCTCACAAACTCACTGACCTGAACATTTTGTATTGACAAAATGATTTATTAATCGAAATTTGTAAGAGAAAGTTTCAGGGTATCAATTTCAAGGTTTTGTAAATAACTTTGTTGTACTGTAGTTTGCATCAAAACTTTTTTCTGTCCATTAACACCTGTTGTATTTTGTTGTCAGGGAGACAGATTTGGCGGTGCTTTGGATGCGGCAGCTAAACAGTTCAGCGACGCCTACGTCAGTAAAATGATTCCTATGGAATTCGTCAACTCAATGAGAAAGGAGGGAAAACTCATCATGGGCATAGGTCACAGGGTCAAATCGGTAAGTAGGCCATAGTTCACAAATTCAAATCAGTGAGTAGGACATATCTCATAGGGTCAAATTGATTAGTAGGTCATAGGTCATCCTTTACTAGGATGTCAGAGGTGAAAGGTTCAATTGGTGAGATAATAGCTATATACATGTAGTCACAAGGTCAAAAGAAAAGGCAGTTGTTCATATTGGAATGTTGTTAGTAACAGGGTCAAATTATTGATGTCACAGGGTCAAATTATTAGTGTCACAGGGTCAAATTATTGATGTCACAGGGTCAAATTATTGATGTCACAGGGTCAAATTATTGATGTCGCAGGGTCAAATTATTGATGTCGCAGGGTCAAATTGTTAGTGTCACAGGGTTAAATTATTGATGTCACAGGGTCAAATTATTGATGTCGCAGGGTCAAATTATTAGTGTCACAGGGTCAAATTATTGATGTCACAGGGTCAAATTATTGATGTCGCAGGGTCAAATTATTGATGTCGCAGGGTCAAATTGTTAGTGTCACAGGGTTAAATTATTGATGTCACAGGGTCAAATTATTGATGTCGCAGGGTCAAATTATTAGTGTCACAGGGTCAAATTATTGATGTCACAGGGTCAAATTATTAATGTCACAGGGTCAAATTATTGATGTCGCAGGGTCAAATTATTGATGTCACAGGGTCAAATTGTTAGTGTCAGAAGGTCAAATTATTGATGTCACAGGGTCAAATAATTGATGTCGCAGGGTCAAATTATTGATGTCGCAGGGTCAAATTGTTAGTGTCACAGGGTTAAATTATTGATGTCACAGGGTCAAATTATTGATGTCGCAGGGTCAAATTATTAGTGTCACAGGGTCAAATTATTGATGTCGCAGGGTCAAATTATTAATGTCGCAGGGTCAAATTGTTAGTGTCACAGGGTTAAATTATTGATGTCACAGGGTCAAATTATTGATGTCGCAGGGTCAAATTATTGATGTCACAGGGTCAAATTGTTAGTGTCAGAAGGTCAAATTATTGATGTCACAGGGTCAAATAATTGATGTCGCAGGGTCAAATTATTGATGTCGCAGGGTCAAATTGTTAGTGTCACAGGGTTAAATTATTGATGTCACAGGGTCAAATTATTGATGTCGCAGGGTTAAATTATTGATGTCACATGGTCAAACTATTGATGTCACATGGTCAAATTGTTAGTGTCACAGGGTCAAATTATTGATGTCACAGGGTCAAATTATTAGTGTCACAGGGTCACATTATTAATGTCACAGGGTCAAATTGTTGATGTCACAGGGTCAGATTATTGATGTCAAAGGGTTAAATTATTGATGTCGCAGGGTCAAATTATTGATGTCATAGATGTCATTCGTACAGAAGAAGGTATTTGAAGAATTTGCTATGTTCCCCTATTGGGCCCCGCGCTTTTGCCCCCTTGGAGACCACACCCACTGATTATACAAAATTGAGTCCCCTTGGCCCAAGAATGCTCCAGACTAAATGAGGATAAAATCCCTTAATCCCTATGGTAGAAGAAGGATTTTAAAGGTTTTACATATATTTCCCCTATTGGGCCCGCCTCTCTGCCTCCACGGGGGTCAGACACACCGTTTATACAAAATTGGTTCCCCTTTACCCAAGGATGCTTCATACCAAGTTTGGACAAAATCCTGTCATTCCTACAGAAGAAGAAGGATTTTGAAGAATTTGCTATGTTTCACCTATTGGGCCCCTTCTCCCTTCCTCCCACTTGGGGCCACACTCGCTGTTTATACGAAATTGAGTCCCTTTCGCCCAAGGATGTTCCAGACTAAATTAGGATAAAATCCCTTCATCCCTATGGTAGAGGAAGGATTATAAAGGTTTTACCTCTATTTGCCCTATTGGGCCCCGCCCCTCAGGTCCCAGGGGAGCCACATGCACCGTTTATACAAAATTGGTTCCCCTTTACCCAAGGATGCTCCACACCAAATATGGACCAAATCCTTTCATTCCTACAGAAGAAGAAGGATTTTAAAGAATTTGCTATATTTCCCCTATTGGGCCCCGCCCCTCAGCCCCCAGGGGGGCCAGACGTAGCGTTTTAAAGGAAAGGTTGACAGATGGACGATGGATTGACGGACGCTGCGGTACCAGGTGAGCTAAAAACTAAAGGAGACAACTCTGACACTAATCACAGATAGACTTTGTGAGGTAGCATATAGCCTTAGTTCATTTCTACTTAAACATATCATCTCTAGAATGAAGCAGAATATTGTAAGATATGATATGGTGGTTATGATAATAAAGTTATCTCCCTTGTCAGATAAACAACCCGGACATGCGTGTCGTGATCCTGAAGGATTACGCCAAGAAGAACTTCCCGGTCACGCCTCTTCTAGACTACGCCATCGAGGTGGAGAAAATCACAACATCAAAGGTTTGCATTATATAGATTCTTGTAACCTTCATTCCATTAAATTTATTTTCTGCACTATTTTACACTCAATAAGACTTTACCGTCCATCAGATTTAAATGTCTTAAATGTGACTCCATCATCTATTTACACCATCTTCATAACACCTTACCGTATTCAAAGCATTAAAAGTGCCCCTCCCCTTTTTGGTCACCTGTCTAAATCTCACTCACCAATTCCCAAACACTCTCCTTTCTTGCCCTCTCCTGTTATACAGTATATAACAGACTTGACAGGCCTGAATAGGACAAAACTGTTTCTCAGTGTTTTAGAAAAACAATCCCTGTGAACGTGTCCAACAGTTATGTTGCCTTTACAGCAACTGACAAAAACTTTGTTACATTATCGTAATAAGCCCCCCTTTTAGCCCTGCGCGCTAATTACAGCAAATGTGATAGCTGTTTGGAGCAACCAAAACCGTATTGTGTACAGGTAGCAAAACCTCAAAGATAGGGAGACTTTTATAAGTATGATTCTAGCTTTTCTGAATATGGCTTGATCATTTGTTTCTTTTATTTTCAGAAACCTAACCTCATCCTGAATGTAGACGGCTTCATTGGGGTAGCGTTCGTAGACTTACTGACAAACTGTGGATGTTTCACTAGGTAGGTTTTGATGTTGTATTGTTTGTATTTATTAGATGAAAAACAATTAGGAATGTATAATACTGTGACATATCTTAACCCATTCACCCTTGAAGTCACATTTGAACCTTACCAAATCAAAGACTGGGCAAGTCCAGTTTAAGTATGTAGGGGTGAAGGAGTGAAGTGAGAAACTAGGCCTGTATTTATAAAATGTTCTAATGCTCAAACAACACAAAATCTGTGTTCAAGTTTAATTCCTAATTCAAGTGAAGCGGAACGTTTTTATTCCCCACTTTGGTGTTGTGTTTCAGTGAGGAAGCCAGAGAGTTTGTAGATATCGGGGCCCTGAATGGACTGTTCGTGTTAGGGCGCAGCATGGGATTTATTGGTAAGTTAATGTCAATAAAATGATTGTTTCGAAAAATAAATAGAAAATATTGTAAAAGATATTGTGTAACATACTCACTGTCATAATATATGGTGTTTGTACACTGCAGTGCAACAAATGTCCAGAGGTATTGTGCAAAACATTTGTCACAACTTTTATACTCCCTTGGAAATTCAGCACGAGTGTCATAACCTCCTTTAAGATATTCATTGTTGTTCCACTGCAACATAAAAATGTCCTTCTATATCACTAATTGCTATTTATTTTGATTGGTTAATCCTTTCACCACTGTAGACCATAATGGACTCATCCAGATCAATGCATGGGAAAGTCTACTAAAGTTGCATAGGGATGAAAAGGGTTAATGTTTCAGCTAACTGATATTAACTCATGGTTATTATTTCAGGTCACTTCCTGGACCAGAAACGATTGAAGCAAGGTCTATACCGCCATCCCTGGGACGATATCTCCTACATCATGCCGGAGACTATGGGACTGATGGGTGATCGCACAGAAAACGTGTAACGAACCAACAACGAATAACAGAAAATACGCAACATTCTGTTCAGCAAAAGATGTGGAAGGAAACTCTCTCTGACAACATCAAGTTACAGACAAACTGTACTTCATGATACAGGACTACTTGGTTGTGTACACCAGTGTTTAGCTACAATGGAACAATCACTCAAATGGAGGATTTCTGTTAGAGAATCACAAGGGGCTGTACCCCTATAATGTTTAAGGATCATGGGAAAGATTTACATAAATCACAGTCACCTTTTAGCACAATTTCCTTTGTTTATAATAACACAATTCAGTGCACATTTATTCACTTAAAATGATTTTAGATTTTTGAGATAGATATTAAAATTCAGTGTTGTTATAATTTAGCATTTCAACAACCACAGGAAAGAGCACTTGAAAAAAAAATCTAAAATGATACTAAAGAGTTTATATGCTGCTAGTAAGATTTTGTGTTGAAAATAATTGGATCTAGGAAAATGACTTTAAAGATTCTGTGCTAAAAGCATTTTGTTGGGATATTTAATTACAATATTATCATTGTTGGGTTTGGTTACACTCTGTTTTCTAAAAACGGTTATGAATAATGTGGGAGACGTATATTGTGATTGTTAATGCTGTTGATGACTGGTACCCAGATTGTAATATTAATTTGTGGTATCATAAATTGTATTATGCTAAGTGTTTAGTTGGACCATTAGAAAATAGTTACTGACCATGTGACCTGTCTTGTTATAAACATGGTGTAAAACTGGTGTAAAAGTGTGTGTGTTATTGTTAATGTTACCTAGGCAACTAACCTCTGTACAGAAGAACCCTTGTTAGTCTGACAATCTAGGGGGAAAACAATCCAGAAACTAATCCCTCCAAAAAAAAGTTCATGGAAGTAAAATGCTTGTCTTATACTATTATTATCTCTGCCCCGACAAACTTCTACTGCACCTTGATCAGATATATTTCGGATTGCATGCCTTTTTTGTCCAATCAGAATGCAGACATATAATATGGTCAGGTCAGTCTTCATGTCTGGTGCTAATGAAGACACATTGAATGTTTCGCGTTTATGTTTAAAAACTGATGTTAGGAAAGTTTTCGTTTAAATTATCACAGTTTGAAAGTTAAGCTTTCAGTCGAATACATGAAACTATTGCATGAACAGAATTCCACTTTAAAATTTAATTTAAAAAATCGATTGTTGGCATCTGATAACAACAGCCACGTATACATGTTAATGATGTATTGTATTTATAAAGATGTAGTGAACAAAGTCCACATTTGAAGAGTTTTGTTTCAAACATTCAGAATTTGTATAATTATTTGTTTCGTCTTTAATATATTTAACTTATTTCTCATCTTTCTTATTTAATCAGTGTCTTATATCACAATTTTGTGTCATACAACATTTTCCCAAATTAGACAGGTGTATATTCCACCATTTAAGTGTAGCCAAGTTGGCTTTTCTGTCTGCACTCCAGGGGATAGACAAGCTGCACCGTCTCAACCAGAAGTAAAGTTTAATGTTATCTGGAGCACTGGACAATATGCTGTTGTTGAAATATGTATTTCATATAATGAAATATTTACTTGATCATTAATACCCCATTCAGTGGTTCAACAGTGCTAATAAATTAATATTTATTTAGACATTGATATTAAGTATTATTATACCTCATCTATATAACAGTGTGTTGTATTGGATTACATTGATAAAATGATGGGAAAATAAAACATTGTGTTTCCCTCTTCATCTCCAGTTTCTCAAGACACATTTCCCTATTTCAGAGCCTCTTTATAGGAAAATAAGCAAAATTCACCACACCAGAAAAACAATAATAGCCCATGCCACTCAGAGTTGAGGATAGAAAAATATCTTTTAGGAATACAAACCAGTACATCAACTCACACTTGGAGTAAAATGTGTGAAACAGAAAGACCAGTTCACAAAATCGAGACAAAGTATTTTTGAACTGGATGATTGATCTAGACAAAAAATGAATTAGCTCACAGCAAAATAACATTGGGTGAAAAAGTTACCCGAGATAAAAAGAAGGTTATAATCTATTCTGAAAGTTTAATTTTTAAAATAAATGTATTTTCTATTCTGAAAATCTAAAAAATTTCAAAGATATTAAGAAAAGAAATCATACATATCCTGGTTTCAAGAGCATTCTTTCACTTAAGCCTTTTTTTATAAAGAATTATAATTAAGAAATTTCCTAAACTGAAAAAAACAAAGGTTTTCCTCTACCTCAACACTGATTTTCAGTTTTAGCTTTAGGGATATTTGTGAGATAAATGCATAATAATGTTTCAAGGACAGTTGTAATTAATGAAGAAATGACCATTAATAGACTATCTCATTTATACTAAGGTCAATTTGTGGTGTGATGAAAATTGGTCGGTTCATATTAAGGGGAGGAAAATCAGACTATTTGAGCTAAGAAAGGGGGTTGAGCAAAATTGTTACGAGGAGATGCCTATACTTACTGTTTCATTCAGAATGTTAATGTTTTAAAATAGATATTTTTTTTCATTTATCATTACATGCATTCTTGAATTATTTCATCTTTTTTATTATTATTAAACATTTTTATTTTTTCTACTTTTTTTTTAATCATGTTATGCAACAATTCTTTGTGCAATTATCAAAACATATCTTATGTTCTCATTTTTAAGTATATAAAGCAGTTAAGTCTTAAAAATTATATATACTGGTATGTCTCATTTTCACACCACTTTTTACTTTCGTAAATTCCAGTTGAATATATACCGACACCATAAAATGCTGAGCACAGTGAGAACATGTGCTGCCTCTTAAAGTTGATCGGTGTGTGCATTGATTAATCCTATTTGGCTGCTTACTAATTGTTTACTATAAACAGTCAAGAGATGTGATGTCTTTTAATTTCAAAATCGTGATTTACAAAGCTTTGTCGTCTTACTTTTATAAGTTGTTCAGACACATATCAAGCTAACCAATAACATGTACCTTGTCCTTTGTATTTTTGTGTAGAAAATATGTATATATATGCAAAAGTATTTATATGTCTATAAGGTATGTCTATAAGGTACTTATATTTCAAGTTTCTTTCAATAGAAATGGTATATTCTCGTGTATGACCTACTATCAATTCATATAGAACGTTAACCTTTATAGAAGGGTCTGTGGTGTAAAGCTAGAGCTACCCCCAATCAGCTGTAAGTTGCTGTCACAGTTGCAGATGTAGATCCAGGATTGTTGAAAAGAACTAGGTATATATAAAGATCTCAATCATAGGGGTTTGTATACTGGAATTGGCAAGAACTTATAATGGATATTAGGAAGAATGATTTCATATAAACAAAAATAAATTTGATACGGGCATATGAAATATTCTCCCAAAACTAGATTTAAAATATATCATTTTGGCTGTGCTGTATTTCTAGTACTAATATTACTACCTGACTAGACATTATCATAGCTGCTGTACTTCAATTAACTGTTCTGGAGATGACTTGGACAACAAATTCAAAAATGATAGAAAATATATATAGCATTTGCTGTATCGGGGGTCATTGTAAAGAACTAGGGCCTGTTCTTTTATGTTTGTTTTTAAATGTAACCATTTCGGGTATGAATTCTGGTGAACCTGCAAATGTTTATGCAGGCCTTGCAAGGCTTCGTCAAGCAGATTACTAGGTCCAGCCTTATTTGATAAACGAACAACTGTGGTCCAACTGCTTAAACGGAAACGGCCCTAGACTGCATATTATTCATCACTAGATCTGTCTGTATGTCTCTCCACCAGGAGACGTTTGTTGTGTACTTCCTGTCTGTAAACCACTCATGTACTTAGTGCTTTACAGTAGTATACAAAGAGGGTGTTGTACAATAAAATCAGGATGAAAATTGGATGTTGTTGCTTTATCTATAGCTAGAGACAAGGACAATATTTTGTTAAACTCAATGAACATGATTCATAATGCCATGAAAAAAAAAGAAGTTAATACTGGAAAATGTATTTGTGCATCCTTGAAAAGTACTGAAAGCTATTTATAATTTTCTGAAAGGCAAGGGTAGAGCCAACGTCGTGGTTTTCTTAATGGTGGAATAATTTGGTCCGTTGCTCCTCATCTGGATACCTGAAAGTATGCAGGGGATTGAGTAAAAGTGAGAACATCATAAAATAGATTCAATCACAACAGGCGAAGGAGCAATAGGCTGTAGAGCGTATTGCTCCTTCGCCTGTTGTGAGTTAATCTATTTTATGATAAAATTTTCTGGAGACAATCGACACATTCTTTTCTATGAAGTACTGTGTAAAGTTTTGTCTATGAAGGACCATTTCAAAGTTCTTGTGCCAATATCAATTAATCCCAAAACAGTTAATGATTTTATATCAGATTTTGGAGAGATAAGCATCAAATCTTATCAAGCTTGTCCGAGCTTTCATGGCAATGAACCTTCCTACCAATTCTACAATGGGCCATAACTCCGTAAATAACTGGCAAATAGTTTTGGTTATTGCAAGCTTTCAAAGTAATAAACCTTAAGTTATTGAGCAGAAACCGTTAGGTCAATTCTATAAAGGGCCCCTTAATAGCAGGCGGATAATGGTTATCGAACTTGTGCAAGCTTTCATAGAAATGAACCTTCCTATGGAGTTTGAAATGAATCTATTCAAAATTACTGAAGTTATTGAGCAGAAACTGTTTCGGCAATTCTACAAAGGGCCATAACTGTGTAAATAACTGGTAAATAATTTTAGTTATTGAAATTGTCCGAGCTTTCATAGCAATGAACCATCCTATGAAATTTGAAATTAATCCATTCAAAATTACTCAAGTTATTGAGCGGAAGCTGTTTCGGCAATTCTACAAACGGCCATAACTCCGTAAATAACCAGCGAATAATTTTGGTTATCCAACTTGTCCTAGCTTTCATAGCAATGAACCGTCCTATGAAGTTTGAAATGAATCCATTTAAAATTACTGAAGCTATTGAGCGGAAACTGTTTCGGCAATTCTTCAAAGGGCCATTTCTGTGTAAATAACTGGCAAATAATTTTGGTTATCAAACTTATCCGAGCTTTCATGGTAATGAACCTTCCTATTAAGTTTAAAATGAATCCATTCAAAATTACTCAAGTTATTGAGTGGAAACTAATGTGTGTCCGCCCGCCCGTGAGAAAACATAATGCGTACCGTCTATCGACGGGTGTATAAGAATTAGCTCTGTAGCGCTATTTTTGTTCGAATGTTGATTTGTTAAACAGAAAATCTCACTCTTTTTCTGGAAGCTTGGAAAATTGTAATAAAAAGTGTAGTGTTAAAATGTGCTTGAATTTCATCCTGACAGTCTCTTATGAACCATGAATTAAAATATTTGGTTAATCATATGCAACTAGAATTTTGTTTTTGTTTAACATGTCTCCCCTTATTAGCCAATAGAAAAACTCTGGTATAAAAAATTAACAAAGGGTCATATCTCTTTATATAGTGGGGCACGAGACCCGAATTTAGAATGTGACACTCCTTCGATATTAAAATTAAGCAAAGGGCCATAACTCTGTATATAGTGACACACAAAACCTAATTCCAGTGCACTGCACACTTTCTGCGAGTGATGCAGGTATACTTCAAGTAGGCCATGGACAAACTTCGGTATTAAAAATTAACAATGGGCCATATCTCTTTATATACTGGGGCACGAGACCCGAATTTTGAATGCGACACTCCTACTTCCCAAGATACATTAAAACTTTAGCAAGTTTGGTCAATGTAGGTGAAATAATGGAAGTTATGCCATGGAAAAAAATTGGTATTAAAAATAAACAAAAGGCCATAACTCTGTATATAGTGGGTCATAATATCCGATTTTAGTGCGAGAAATTAGCTCTGTATATAGTGAAGCACGAGACCTAATTCTGTTGCACTGCACACCTTCTGTGGGTGATGCAGATATAGTTCAAGCTTGATCAAGATATCTCTAACGGTTTGAAATTTACGGGCCGGAGAATTTACTGAAAATGTGCCCTTATTTGACCTTGAGGTAAAGGTCACAGTGACCTAATTCCAGTGCATTGCACACCTTCTGTGGGTGATGCATGCATACCTAAAGTTTCATCAAGATATCTTTAACGGTTTAAAAGTTATGGCCCAGACAAGTTCGATTTAAGAACTAGTACTAATACAATGTCTCCCTTCATTCGAAGGAGAGACATAATAATCATCTAAATATGTAGGATAGGGCCGATTGGTTTACATTCAGACAGCCTGGATATGATTTCTGAAGTAGATCGACTGTAAAAGACTGTTTTCTTAAAACTTACTTGGTTGTTCTCATCTCACAGGGATATCCATGTTTTCTTAAAACTTATTGGTTGTTCTCATCTCACAGGGATATCCGTTTTCTTAAAACTTTGTTGTTCTGATCTCACAGGGATATCCATATTTTTTATGGTGGAAATTCCATGTAGCCTTCGTATCGAGACAATAACCATCACATGTTTGCTATTTACAACATTAAGACAACTGAAGCACACCAATGAACTTGTTTTTCAAAATGGAAAAAGATAAATCACCTCTGTAGTGTAGACGAGATAAACATCAACCACTTGGATAAGACTTTTGAGAGTCAAGAAACTAACCAAGCCTCATGATACAGGAACTTATCTAGGGCCTGTCAGGGGCCAATATTCGGGCCTTGATACTTCCCAATTTCAACCCGAAATTTCCCAAACATGTTTTCGTTGAAAATTTCCAAAAACTGTACAAAACACAGCTTATTTTCCCAATTTCGGTGAGGGGCAAATTCCCAAAAAGGCTAGATAAGTCCCTGGTTTAATTTGAGATTTATCTGTCTACACCACATAGCAGTAATACTATTATGTTCTATTACTCTAGGAAAGGTGTAACAGGTGGTCCAAGGAAGTCTGGTGCAGCATTAATACTATTATGTTCTATTACTCTAGGAAAGGTGTAACAGGTGGTCCAAGGAAACCTGGTGCAGCAGTAATACTATTATGTTCTATTACTCTAGGAAAGGTGTAACAGGTGGTCCAAGGAAGCCTGTTCAGCAATGATCACTATAACAACCTGGTACTGTACATTTTTTTTTATTTAATTTAGAACCGCAGCTTCTGGAAAAACCATCTGTTCTTTCCTGTCTTGTATCTGAAATCACCAAAAGATAAAATGTTTCAGGTGGTGGCAAAATATGAAGAAAATGCATCTCAAACTATGTATCAACCTTCTTTCAGGGAACTAAAGGGATGGTCTATTTATAGAATATTCATTTTGGGCCATTGCATTTTATTTCAGGCAAGTGTATTGAATACCTAATACACATCCTACAAACTGTTAATCCTGTTAAATTAAATCTGGTCCATTAAATAATCTAGCATGGTTTTATTATTCTGAAGTCAAAATTGATTAGATATGCTTCCATAAATGTCTGATCTACCTCTACAATCGTTTCTGTATGAATATTGACTTGCCTGTAATCAGTAAGGTAATGGACGGTTAACACTACAGGTCATTGAGGTATGACTATATCAAATAAACCCTACCACAAACATTCACCCTGATCATGAAGGCTACCTGGCCAACATTCTTTAATACAAACTATACATAGCTACATATATTGCAATACACAGCTTCATACATACACATACTCTTGAAATCTTTGTCAGAATACTTTGTACTTTGTCATACAATCTTGCCGGTTCTAATAGTCTTACATGGACAAGTATGAGTACTGCCAACAATTTGATATTTGAACCTTTTAAAGAATGTTTATTACAAAACCCATCAATTTTTTGGTAATACAGCTTCATATGCATACAGCCTATTTAAATCTTTGTTAGACTATATTGTACTTTGTCATAAATTCTTAAGGTTCTTATTTTTTTTCATGGATAACAGTAAGAGTACTGCCAACAATTTGATATTAGAACATTTAAAAGAATATTTGTTAGGAAGCACATCCTTTTTTGGGTTATAAAAGCCTAGCTTTACCTCTCTTCAAACTTGGCCTTGACATCTCGCCTAGCTTTACGCTTGAGAGCTGGGTCCCTGAAAGCATCTTTGTTTACAGAGGTTTTGTCCAAGTTCACATCAACGGAGTATCTGCAAGAAAATAGAATATCAAATATGATTTTAAGTGTAAACTTTACTTTCACTTAAGGCATACATAAATCCTACAACATACAAAATTACCATGTTTTATAGCAATATTTAGTTCAAAGCTGTTTTAATAATGGCCCTAAAAATTTTAAGCAGACCTATAGCCATGAACTGACTTGTTGTACCATGATAGATTATTTTTAGTATCTAGTGTCAAACTACAGATGCATGATTTCTATGCATTTTTATCCAAAGTGCATCTACATGTTGCATTAGTCATATGCCCAACACAGACCTGTCAAGTTACATTTCTGTAAAGCTGATGATCTACCGAAGACCATGAGATTTACTGAAATACCAGTTTTTATCATAAATTGAAGATGCAGCCCTGATGAATGTAAAGATCTGTATGAGAGGAAACCATAGCCAATGTGATGTCATAGTCAAAGTAGACAAGCCCATGGAGATGCAGTTTCTGATACATTGTATAGTTTCTGATACATTGTATAGTTTCTGATACATTGTATAGTTTCAGATTAACTGTAAACACATGTACATCAGCTCTTAAAAATGACACGAATAGAAGAAACCAATGCAACACTCAAGATTTATTTTTGTTCATGTCCGATGACTCCCAGCAAAACCAGGCAAATATGCTCACTTTCCTAGTACTTATCCGACCTTTGACCTAGAAGTGAACATCACAGTGACTCTAATACAGAGCACTGCACACCTGTCGGTGATTCAGGCACATTTCATATCATTCTAATTTACATCCAGACAAAG